CTTTCTTGTACCTCAACGCGTGACCGACCAGTTAATGGAGGCGCTCATTCATTGAAATGTAAGTTCTTGGTTGTCAACAAGTTTTCATAGCAGCGCGGTACAATAAATCACTCAACAAAAACACATCGCGTCCCTGGTTTGTTTGAACAACATAGGTTGGCTGTCGTATGCGTGAGACTAGATAACTCTGCTTCAACATGTTGTTGAAGTCCTCACTTTGCAGTAAACAGCATGAGCGATCTCAGCGATCTCAGCAACGGTACTGTGGAGCAGAAGGCGGCGAACCGGCGGAGTCAAAATGCTGAAGCCGCACGTCGGTACCATGCTACGACGAACACCTGAAGACCGCGAAAGCCATCGACAACAAGAGTGCATACGGCGCCAAGAGAGACGACAGCATTCGACTGCATCTTCAACGTCAATGTCAGCAAGTCGGCAAAGGTCTGAATGTGTTACCGATGATGTGAACGTGCTGGACGAGCGCTCAGCGGCATGGGGAGACAACGTCATCCCTCAACTGCGAAGAGTGCCTTTGGTGACCCAGGAAAGCGTCCTGGAGCGACTGCGGGGGGCGTTGGGTGCGTCCGGATTGGACGAGACAGTATGTGCGGTGTGCGATACGTGGGTGCTACGCACCCACTGCCGCACCATTGTCGTCTCGGAGTTCGTGTAAATGAATGATATTTGAAGACGCCTTAGCAGTCGAGAGGAGAATCTCGTTTCACCTCTGGCGAGCGAGTATGATTGCTCAGACAAGCTTCCTGAGCTCGAGAGCATCCTGCTTCCAAGCGCGGAGCCGACCGAGGCGGCCGTAGTCTACACGTTTGTAATCAGTGCGATGATAGCTTGAGGAAGCGGGAGATCCCAAAGTTCGCAATCAAGAACGCCGACGCCAATACGCGGTGTGTCCTCGTATCGTGCCTTCATGGCGGGGCCAATCACTACCATCCAACAAGCTCGAATCCGCAAGATGCATCGTGTGCGGCGGATAATGATCTAAGCCCTGCTATGGTTTTATCGCGTCCACAGCTCGCTGTACGCGCACGTAGCAGTCAATTGCTCGCAGATAGCCGAAGACCAAGTCCCAGTCGGTATGTTGAATGAAGAGACCGACGCAGATATTTAGGCTAAAGACGCTGATCTCGAAGGCAGTCGCGTCGGTGGCGTCTCCGACAACGACGCCACTGCCGTGCAGGACGAAGTGGTGGAGCGGTGACCGGGAAGTCGCTAATGCGAGCGAGGGTTCCACCACCGAAACCACACAGGTTCCGCTGAGAGCGCGCATACGACCGTTGAGTTCTTTAATGAGACGTCGTCAGCTCCGCAATTCCTAGTTCGTCTCTCCAGCCGGTTCTCCTCGAGCAGTAAAGACCTTTTTGCTCAGATATTCCTCCACCATTTCCCGTACGGCCGCGGTCATCCAGGAGAACGCGGCCACTTCCAGTGTCACTGGAAGCATGCATTCGTCATTACGGTATGCTGAGCTCGCGGCGGTTTGCTGAAGACGCGCTGTTCATGCCAGTTGCCTTCGACCACATATCGCTGCAGAAAATGTACACCTAGGTCGCGCTCAAGTGCAAGCGGAACTCCGCCCTTTTCGAGCCTTTCAGTGACGTGGCGGAGGTAGGCTTGGCAGATGCCCTTCAGCAGAAGGAGCTCCACCGGCAAGGCCAAATGGCTGCGCTGCACGGTGACCGGTCGCCTGCAGATAGACTACTGGACTCAGTCGATATCAGCGGAGGCGCGATTTGGGGCAGTGATGCTGAGCGTGCGCAGTGCCGGCGACGAGCGTTAGCCTACCAGGCTCGCTATGGCCAACCCGCGCTCTTCGTCACACTGACGCCCAACGTGGCCGAGTCGTTCGTGATGGTCCAGTACACCGGCGTGACTTCGCTTGATACTCTCTTTGACGCTGAGCTGACAGGAGCGCCCTGCAAGTCGGTCATGCAAGTGCAAGCTTGAAGAATGATGTTGTGAGTGCGCGGTTGTTCATGCACAACATGGACGCTTTTGTTGATCATGTTCTTGGCGTGAATCCTGCCGCTATGAAAGGCGTACCGTTCGACGTGTTTTTGGGAGAAGTTGACGCATACTTCGGCATGGTCGAAACGCAGGGCGGCGGGACGCTCCACGCCCGCATCCTCGTTTGGTTGGCAGACGCACCGCCCAATTCACCAGCGTTTGACCTCGCCGTCCAGACCCACGGCGAACAGTACTTACGCAACCTTGAGAAGTGTGTAGACAGTGTCGTTACAACGTCACTGCCGCTGGATATTGCTGAGTCGCATTGCCAGTTTTGTAGCGAGCCGTACGCGCATGCCAATCCCGATTGAGGCCCACATAAGTCCAGACCGACGGCAAGACGGGCAGTCAGTGGAGTCGCTGCTAGTTCAATGTGGTCAGCGTGATCACAAGACAAGCTTCCAGCACGTTTTGCGTCGCGTGATTCTTGATCACTACCCACCACCGTAGCCACCACCGCGGCGAGAACACTCAGCCGACGAGATAAGGGTGGCGGTTGATCGTGAAGCAAGTTGCCGAGGCTCGATGAGCGCCGCTAAAAACGCAATCTTCCGCCGTGACTGCTACTTGGCGGGTCGTGAAAACAACTCAGACGCTGAAGGGAATCGCCTCCAGTTGCTGAACCGTCCGCCACAGCACAGCGAGCGCTTTCAAGACGATCTGTTCCGCATCGACTCGGTCACTCTAGCTGTGTTGATGCTGCCACCGTCTTTTGACGACGCTCGGTGGCCGTTACACGTACTGGCCTTTTGCTGTCTCGGTGCTGGTGTTCCTCCTCAACATGCACTGGTGGTCGCACGTTGGAAGTTGCTTCAAGAAAAATTGATCTGCAGCATCAGACACATGCCGGCACGGATTTTCACGCCCGCGCATCGAGCGGTCAACCTGCACTGCGGAAGGCGTCAGTGTCGCTCGTCAAGTATGTGAACGGCTTCAACACCGTTGTGATGGTCACGTTTAAGTCAAAACATGATATACAAGTCATGATTGGCGGTACTGCTGCTCTCTTGCGGATATACTATGTGACGAAGTATGTCACCAAGCTGCAATCGATGATCGAGTCCGTGACGACCGTTGCGCTAGCTTCCTTTCGAAGACGTCTGACTCGAGAGCTGCTTGATCAATGAACGAACGCGGACAGAGCAAGCGTTGAACGCCGACGAGTGGCGTCACTCGCATTTGCGGTCACTAACTGCCGCAAGATCGCCGGTCCACTCACGGTACTGTATCTCATGCGAGGTTCGTGGTGCTATATGAGTTCTCGCTGCGCACCGCTGCCATTAAAAACATCTTGAAGGAGTTGATGAGCGATGACAAGCACTCGTGCGATCTCGTCGAGCTGCATGACGGCAATACCTCGGTCACGATGTACCGTGCGGCGTCGCTACTGGATGACGATTGCTGTCGGCCGCACGCACTCGACAGTGTAAGTCTCTATGAGTTCATCATGCGGTACTTCGGCGCAAGCGAATCCACACGGTGTCTATGGCGTCGCTTTTTCTGCCAGCGCACCCGTTGAGCAACACGCACTGCATCGGCACGCACCGAACCGATAGTATTCCCGTCGCGACCGGCATTCGCATGCCGTATGTTGATGCTGAGTCGCCGAGTGAGATTCCGGTGAAACGTAGAGACTGCGCACTGGTGTTGTTTCACCCAATTCGTACCGCGACAGACCTCGTCGCTGACGTGACGAACGACGCAGCCTGGGTTGACGCTTACCGACGATGGGAGCCCACGCGATTGGGCTTCGTCTCCCAATTCATGGCAAACATGGACGACTTCTACCGTGTCGAGAAGCAGACACAAGATGCTGCTGCCAGCGAGCACGACAACGTCGACATGTTGGGCGAGAACGACGACGACGTCATGGGGACTCGTCATGAAGTCGAGGCAATGGTCGATGGAAGCGAGCCGGCATGCGAGGATCCTTCTGGTGACGAGTTCGATGCCTGCGTGATCGGGGACAAGATCCCAGTCGTTCTGACGACGACGCAATCTAGCACGTCCGCAGCCTCCTCGACAACTGTGTACCACCCGCTGCTGATGCCTGTCGCCCAGACAACCGCCAGCACACTTGCCACATTATCCCAGGCACCGGCGTTTACCGTTGAGGAACTCAGTCGATATGGTAAGTCGCCAACGACAGACGAATCGGAGCTGTCTAAGCATTACCAACGAGAGAGCTGAACAGAAGTCATCGAGTTGCTCTCGAAAGCGCTTGACCCAGCTGCTGCGATATGGGTTTCAAGTGATCGCCAACGCCAACATGCGGACGTCAACCATTACGCAACAATTGCCGAGGTCCCATGCGCGTTTACACTTAATCAAAGGCAGCACGCCGCATTCACGATCATCGCGACTGCGCTGCTACGAACGTTTCTGCGGCAGGAGTAGGCTGGGCTCGAATTCGTTGATGGCGCCACCAACGACCGCAGCAGCCACGACGTTGAAGAGAAGCTCAGAGACAAGCAGCTGCTCATGTTTCTCGGTGGTGCTGGTGGAACGGGAAAAGCCGCATCATTGATGCGGTCAACCGTTCTGCGCGAGCTGGCATTGTGAAAGCTCGTTGACAAAAACTGCGCTCACCGGAAAAGCTGCTACGCTGATCGGGGCGCGGGCCTTGGCGAGTTTCATCATGCGCATCAAGCACTCGATCGAAGACAAATCTTTCGCCACGCTGGACGCGTTCGTCATCGATGAAGTGTCGATGATGTCGAAACCTGAGTGATAAAATGCTGCGCAGGTACAAGCAAGTGTCAAATGTACCATTCGGCGGTGTGCACATCATTCTCGTAGGCGACTTCTTGCAAATGCAGCCAGTCGGCGCCGACGCAATTTTCGTCGATCCAACCACCAAGTCACGCCCGTCGACAGCCGACATCGATAGCTTCGAGCTATGGAGGCGGTTCACGAGACAGTCCGCTTTCGCAACGACCCCGAATGGGGGCGAGGATGCGCGAACGCGCGAGTTGGTGAGTGGACGCAAGAGTTTGTTGACATCCTCAACAACCGCGTCGTACAGCCATCGGATGCTGAGGTTAAGACCGAGCTCACGCTGAAGGCCGGCGTGTTTGTTACTCCCGAGAACGTGAAGCGGCTCGCAATCAATAACACTTTTGTTTGCTAGACAGCGATGCGGCTGCCACCACAGGCGTTCCCAATCCGCGTTGTGGCTCATTTCAACGGCGTGCTCAACAAACTCAATCGGAGTGACGTTGCATACGTGCTCGGCTTAAGGGGCGTTGCTTAAGGGACGATAAATTATCAGCTGTTACGCGATACTGGCGCTTCTTCGAGTACACAGCGGCCACGTCGTCAAAAAGAGCTACCTGGTCCGAATGTCTTAATGCTGCGTTGAACACCTCCAACGGAATTTCAGGCCAGTGCGTCTGCATCTCAGCCAGTATATGGTGAATGTCAAGAACCTGTTTGACTCCATCCAACAGCACACGTGTAACTGTCGCTTCCTTGATGGCTCTCATCCATTTCTTGGCCACATGACACGATAGCGTTCTCATAGATATTCAACGACGACTGCATGATATCCACTGCTTGGTGCATGTAATCGACGATCTCCAGCGCTGTGTGCCATTGGCTGAGCCGCCAATGTTTTCCGCGATGCTGGAGAACGATCCTTCCTCCCAAGTCATCCAGTGAGGTGACTTGAAATCCGTAGCGCCAAACAGTGGCGTCAAGTATGTGAGCGCCACCAACAGGACCACGTTTGCCAGCTCGTCCACCGCAGCGTTCAGCTTCTTGAAGCTCCAGCAGACGTCCTGTGCGAAGGCCTCGTCCAGAGTAGTGCCAACGGTATGGGCAAGCCATCCATCTGCCTCACTGCCTACCCGGGACTTCTTGCAGCTCTTCGTTTCCACCGGATTAAGTAACGCACACTAGTTCGATGTACCCGCACACCAAATGAGACCCAAAGGAGACCCTGCGCTCGTGCAAAATGTTGCGCGATGGCTGCCCGAAGGTTACTCGATGACGCGAAAATCCTGGGGAACACTCACCCAACGACAGTTCTAACGAACTGCGAATTATTTTATCTTGAGCACCCCTCTCGTCCAGGTTTCTCCTATCAGGTATTATACAGGTATAACAGCAGGTATTGCCCAGGTATAATATATCGCTTGAAAATTACCGCCATTTCTTCTTTGATCCTCAGCCACTAGTTGGGGGGGGGGAGAATCGCAACACGTGGACGCGTCAACCGGGACTGAGCGACGATGGCGCGTACGCACAAGACGGCCCACATCAAGGCTGCGATGGCGGAGAAAGAGCGTCTAGCCAAGGAATCACGACGGGACGACATCGCTCGCGTGCAGGATGCGCGTACGCGGTTCGAAAGGGCTCAAGCATTAAAAACTGTGCAGAGATCTCACCCCCGCGGGTATAGACGATGGAAAAGAGAAAAGTCCACCGAAAATACTTCGGAGGAGCGACCTGGTGACGCGGAAGCGCAGGAGGACGAAGACGAGAATGTCGCGGAATCAACCGGTGTGGAGGCCAAGAAATGGCTCGGATAGTGCGGATGTGTCGGAGGAAGATGTCGCACAGACTCCAGTGGCTGAAGAGCCGTCGGGGCGGCAGCGTCAAGGGAAAGGACCGTTTCAGATACCGAGGATGAGGATTTGACTGAAGTTCCTGCGTTTAAGGCTCAGCACGATTCCTGGGCCTCGTTGGAGGTGAGCTTGAAGGAATACATGGATGCTACACGTCAGAAAATAGTGGTGAAGGAGGTGATTTATATCGCTCGTCGTAGCGCTCAC